GTGAAATGTGACTGATGAAAACTTAGGAGCTTAATCCCACACCAGTTTGATGTTGAATAACATCGGGTAACGAGTCTGACTTTTTTTTTTCCACATTGGACTCCACCGGGAAGAAATCCCGTGCACACTGCCTGCTTAAATGTTCACTACATCAGAACTTATTCAGCAAATGTGTTTCCATCTCTGCTTTTGTGCATTAACTCTTACGGGATGGGAGAAATTGGTCTTGGTGGAGGTTTGCACTCTCCGAGTGCTTCTAGTTTTAATTTAGCTTTATCGTTGAAAGGTGGCYTTAATGTGACCACATCCTGGTTCCTGTCTGTGCCGCACCATGACCGTTTAGACCCACTCCAAARGGACTTCTGCCCGGGCTGATCTTGCGTGGATCCCAACGGGGACGCCGCTGACGGATCACAGAGGGAGGCYACGCTAAGATGAAGTGTCAATGCTGCTGTAAGATCCCCGAGTCAAATACCCTGTTTGGATGTGAGAGGGGCAGAGGCAGCCAAAGYAGGGATTGGTTTAAGGAGTGCAGTGCATATGCAGTTACTCCCACCACCGCTCATGCGGGGGGGCCCTTCACTGTAATCTCCTGTCTCTTCAAGCTGTGTATGCAGAAGAAAACTGACAGCACCATCCAACACAATCGCCATGCAAACACACACAGACATCAGCTTAAARGTAAGCCACTTTATAAAACGTACAAATCTACGCTTCTTACAACACTGGTTTATTCATTGAGTTCATTCACTGTACTGCCAGGGAGTWACAGAAGGGAAAGAATATTTATTTATAGCACAGAGATTTAAGAGAAGCAGGTGAACTTTTGTAACCTTTTTTGTGTCACAGGGTAGATATCAAGCGATAAACTCAGAACATCCAAAGCATCTAAGCAAACTCCGCTGACTTTTATGTCCCTTTAAACATGTTTGAAAGAGCAGCCATGTGAGACCCAGACGAAGCCTCCAAGGCACAGAAATCTGCTTGTGAAGTTGTGTTATTTGGGTACAAAACAAGACTACCAGTCATAAGTGAGGACTTCCCCGGTGGCAGTATCGAAAGCTAAACTTGGGAGTGAGAAGAGAGGTTGGCAGGAGACGCAGAGATGTGGGGGAGAGAAGCCAAGAGGAAGAAATAAGAAGAGGTGAGAGGGAAGGCTGATAGAAGCGCCAGCAAACTTGTTGAAAAAAAAAAACTTCTTCAGTGCTCACCCGTGACAGTAAGGCGAGTGTGTGTGTGTGTGTGTGTGTGTGTGTGTGTGCACCGATGACGAAAGAGTGTGTGCTGAGCTCAGCTAATGCCATCCTGCGATCTCCAGTGAGGCATCAGAAACCTGCGCTGGCAGAGAATCAACTTCAGGTCAGATCGCTCGCGCTTACCATTTCAGTGAGCTAGTTATGGTGGTGGGTGTGCAGCCACTCTGACAGAATACCAAAAAGAACTGGGCAGCGGTGGGTGGGGTGGGCTGGCGTGGGGGGCAGTGCAACTGAACGAGTGTGACATGTGAAAAATACCAGCAGGAGAGGAAAATTAAGAAACGCAGACACCAAAGGAAGCGTGCAGCCGCACATCTTCAGTCAAACATATAGATGTTTTCTCCTTTTCTGGGAGAAGGAATTATGAATTTTGTGTGAAAAATAACACTTGCAGTGTAGACATGTACAGGTGCCG